ACCACGTGATTTAGATTAATTGCGATGATAGTTGGCTGAACCCGGACCTATGGTTCAACTGGTGGGGTATCTGGCTCAACTATGCGAAGACCAACTGGTTCGGCTTCAAGCCTCAAGTTTCTAGAGTCTGATGACTAGCTGATGACACAAACCAGTCTGAAATGAACGCTCTGTTCTTTCTAAAGTAGTGCTTTATGATGCCTAGTGCTCATTCGTATCAAACGGGACGATTTTCACTCTGATCAAAAAACATCGGCACTGAGAAGTATGCTGCTGACAAAGGGAATAGAGGCTGGAATGACCACTTTGGACCTAACTGCTGTCACCCAGACCAGAGAGACCTTAGATCCAGACACAAATTCTCTATTGATTGAGCCAGGTGTTCCGTCTCCTGATTGCGGAACAAAATAAGGGCGTGCAGTCTCATGCTTGAGTTGCAGTTCATTCAGCAAGTCCAGTTGTGAAGACCGCAGGCGGGCATCGACTATCAATGTCCCCTCGGATTCTGAAGGGTGGGTGACCTTATTCGAGTAGGTAGGTTATACTGAACAACACCCTGAGAGCAACCCAATGTACCTACGCGGACGCAGCATTCCCCAAGCACCACCCCCAATGCCATTGCTAAATATTGCTCGTATTGTCTGCGAGAACACTACAGAACGGGTACGCTCCTAAACCGTGCAGCTCCTACAAAATCTCGTTTTGGTACTGAACCCTGTCCGTAAAACCGTCCGACATTAAGATTTGATTGAAGCATAGTCACTTAAATTTTCCGCATAAACCTTCCACGTTTCCTTTTTCTAAGCCTCTATACCGTACACTGTCACACAGCGGATATATTAGATAAGGATGCTTTAGAATGTGTATTTTATGGGGTGTAAAGTCGACTGGACTGCTTCAGTCCAAGGAAAATGGATAGGGCGAACATGCCGTCGAGATTATCATTTCCGAGGTTGATAGCCAAATACACATGTCTATCATGTAAGCATTTATTTAGGCTAAGGGATGGATGCTATATGTTGCTCTTACCACAATGTTGCGTGCATCCTTAGAATGTACTAAGACGCATAACAAATGTCCTCATGCGGACTTCTTCTTTGAAGGCTCTGGACGGCTTCATTTTCATTGTATCGCCGGAAGGCAAACTCCTCTACATCTCCGAGACGGCTTCGGTGATCCTTGGCCTCTCACAGGTATCCTAGTCGCTTCTGCGTGTTACCAGCTGCCTGTATGTATGTGTCCCCGACTAACAACTCCTTCATCCTCCACCCAAAAGGTTGAAATGACCGGCAACGATCTGGCTGAATACCTGCACCCGCTGGATGTGGAGGATATGCGCCAGGTCCTGACACTCCATCCAGCTGAACTACCGCCACCAAACGTAATTGGACATGGTAAGTGCCCACCACGCGCTCTTTGCCGCTTGTAAGTTTTCCCCTGAGCATGCAACCCAATTTACGGCAATACTGGGCGTCCTAGACGAAGATCTGCAAGGAATGGGCCTCTGGCCAAAAAGAAAACTCCTATCTGCTTCACCTTTTCGCAGAACAGTGTTCACACTCCTTCCTACTGTCCTTGCAAATTAATGCGCTAACTTGGGGTAGATCAGTCGTAATGAGGCTTTCTAGGCTGAAGCCGAAATCCATCTGCTTCAGCGGGCTATCCCCAGCAGGTAGTTTATGGCGCGCACACGCCAGTACTTTGGGGCTCAGACTCGTGGACAAGCTGGTGAAATCTAAGACTGCGGAGACCAGAATGACCATTTCTGGCCAATTATCGGTCAGTAGCTAGTCATACCCAACCCCTGGTGTGGACCACCTAAGATTCGAACCCGCGATCTTTGAATGTGACACCACCATTGAGCCACGGGCCCTGTGTCCTGTCATTTGTGATTTTGTATATTGATTATGGTAGACAGGTGCTCACCGATCAGGTTATGGAACATGGTCGTTGCGCACAACGGATCAAGTACGTCCCGTAACCTGATGGGTGAGTGCCCATCTACGATAAATGCATAAAAATATATGCTGGAATTTTGTTCACCGATCGGGCTACGGAACATATTTGTCCTTCAGACTCAGTCTAGAGCCCAATAAGATAGTCGCGTAAAGGCCATGTCTATGTGTTGATGACGGCTAATAAGCCAGAAATGGTTATCCCAGTCAACCTTAACTCTGTCGGTGCCCATTTAAACGTATATAAATATATATTTATAATGGTAGAGGGGCGCTCACTGATCGTTACTACGGAACTCACTCGTCCCGTTGTGTCTTACGGGCTCTCTCTCGAGCCCAACCAGCAGCCGCACAGCGGCGCATGATATAGGTAGGATGGCATTACCGACAAAGACCAGGGAGACTGGAATGACCATTTCTGGCTTATTAGCCGTCGTCAGTCAGCCATACCCAAGCCCGAAGTGTGGAACAGCTGGGGCGCGATCCCCGCGACCTGCTAGTTAGAAGTCCAGCGCCCATAACCACTGAGCCACGGGCTCCTTGTCTTGTCGGTTGCGATTGGGAATATACAATGGTAGAGGGACGCTCACCGATATTTCCTACGGAACTCACTCGTCCCGTTGTTTCTTACGGGCTCTCTCTCTCTCGAGCTCAACCAGCAGCCGCACAGTGGTGCATGATATAGGCAGAATGGCATTACCGACAAAGACAAGGGAGACTGGAATAGTCATTAATGGCTCACTAGTCATCATGGGTCAATCATACCAAACCACAGGTTTGTAACCCTTGGGACTCGATCCTGCGTTCTGTTAGTTAGTTAGAAGCCAAAAGCTCTACCTCTTGAGTCATGCGCTCGTTGTCCTGTCAGTTGCGATTGAAAACAGTAGCTGCCACTGGAAATTTGTTCAGCGCTCATGTACTCCTTTTACATCAATGCGACTGCCTGTGGGATTCTAAAATGGAATTTCAGCGCAAAATAGAATGAGCATGTTTCGTGCTGTAATCTGATTGGCGAATCGTTTATCCCCGCTACTACATACATATCCTCGAATGAGATGTGATTACACCAGTAGTGCCTTGCTATTTCGTCTTCCCATCAGGACTAGGCGCTGATACTGGCAAGACCATATCTCTTCTACGATAAATGAACGCTCGTTAAAATGACTGTGTGCTGACCCGGGGTCACAAGAATTCTTTAGCCTTTCATGGGTAGAACCGAGTCTTATCAAGAGGATGGTAGTGATGGTAGCGGACATCAGAAGAGAAAGCTTTAGCGAGTCAGCAACTCATCAGACGCTGAAGTTCTTACCTGTAGCGGACAGCCACAGTGGCTACGTCGCGCCTCTCGCTAGCGCCTGCACCTGCGTCCTAGCGGCAGCCTGCTACGGCACGCACGTTTGCCCGGCTTCGATTTGTCTCGTTGCAATTCACTGGCTGCACCACGCATCTGGTCGATACTCTGCCTGCACCATGCGAGGCTTCTCATTACCCTAGCGTGGGCTCGGAACCAATCAACGTACCTACTATCGCTAATTGGTAAGACAGGCGTAAACAGCCCAGAACTCTAGCGTAAACAATCTGTCACGACACTTTTTCAGCAACGACCTTCGGCGACACACGGCTCTTCGCTCTCGCGGACGCCGCCTCAGCGGCGCCGGACGCATACTCGTCCGGTTGCCACCTTCCCTTCATTGTTCTGTACAGAACAAGTAAATCATTTTCCTCTTCAACTGGCGTCCTGCTTCTAACAACTTGGGATATGGCCTGAAGTTGCGGCGTACTGAGCGTACACCATCACCGCTTAGCCGATACATACCTAAAAGCAGATTGTTAAAAGACGGCGATAATCTTATTCGTCATCCAGCCGCATACTAGTCTGAGGGTTTTATTTCTACCAGTAGTTTGAAGTGTATAACGCGAGGCCAACCAACAGACAGCTCTCCCCCCCCCTCGGGGTCAATCCCGGTAAACCGAAGGGGGGGGGGGAGGCTGCGGCTAGGTTAGACTGATGATGTCAAGACCGACCCACCCTCCAGCCCCCCTCTCCCAACACGTTCCTCTGCGAAGGAGGACCAAACGGATATAAAATCTGTCATTTTGAACCATGTTCAACTGCAGAGGCCGTCGCGTGGGCAAATCATGTCACTCTGGCTGTCGCCTCTACCTTACACGTCTGCGGCCCTTTAATCGGCGCCAGTTAGAGGGCCGCGGCAAGAGAAACATGCACTGATTGCGTGTTTTATGATGTGTTCTTTAGAATTCACCGTCAGACGTCGATTCTTCATTCGGATGCGGTGTGTGCTAGCGAAGAGGAATGCCGGGCTGACCACTGCGGGCTTCAAGGTTAGTGAGCGACGCCGACACCCCTACTTCCCCTCCCAGCTCCCCCCTCCCCCCAAATTTGAGAGACTTGGTGCAATGTCTCACACCCGCCAAGGGGATCGGGTGGTGCCAGTCCTTACGAGACTTCCACCACGCAAGCTTCCACTACCGATCGTTAACTGTCAGTATTTAGAAACAACTAGTTCGCCAGATTTCCAAAAAATACTTCAATAGGTGAAACAGATCACCAGCATACGCAAAGCATGAACGTATAGATAACGTGTATTTTGCGAAAGACAGGAGTTAGTGACGTCGAGAGATGTCGTGATGGAGTCTTACCTGCCCCCTTCTTCGTGAATAACACGAATAAATAACGAGACAAACACAGGTGATCCTAATAAATCTGGATAATCAATGTGAAATACTGCAATACTGTAGTATAAAATGCATCATTTAGCAATTACTTTAGTGCTGAAGAAGCGACTAGTTTGCGCCTGTCGAGGAACAGGAAAATGTGAGATATAGGTCAATGAATTACACTGGGGAGGTCCGATTTTAACTATGACCGGATTGCCTCACAAGTCTACCTCAATCCTCCAACCGCGGTTTGATTGAATTCGAATTAAGAATCCCGTGGTTAGCTTGAGGTCAACGGAATATGCACCGCCTGGTAAATACTTCACAATGGAGGAATCGGAAAATTTTCAAACATAGAAGCCATTTAGGTGTGTGATCAACTGACTTGAGTGTTAGGTGCCGCTTCGTTTGCTCAATATGACAGTTCAGCCATCGCGGACGAAGGCATCGAAAATCAATGGAAAAATGCATGCTACTTAAGTAGACATTTTTTGGATGCAACCGGAAAGACGAAAGGTTAACTGAATTATTAGGGAATTTTGCTGCATAATGACTAGTTTTACAACCCTACTTAATTAATATTTTCGAAACGGAAACGAATTTCGGAATTTCTGTTGAGATTTCATGAGTTAGCCCACCTACTGTACCTCAACAGTTGGCAGTCCTCCATATCATGACTCTTACCGCACCGTGATGGATTCAAACGCCTCCGATTTATAATAGTAAGGGATGCGCTGATTTGTCCCCAGCATCTTTATTCCTCTCCCTTCCCTCCCCTCTGCACCACTCCGGTACCCGAGTCTGTTAGCCATCTGGTGCTGCGATTTGGGTCCTAGGCGTGCCACAAACTTCGCCTCCCCGCCGCGTGCATTAGTCGTTACGGGCTACCTCGGACTCTGCACAGCCCCATTAACTCCCAGCGTGAGCCAATATGGCTCGCGTCCGGGTCCAGCGTGGCCCACCGTGGGGGCGCTTCGCGCGATAGACAGCTAAACCGTACAATGGCGCCGAATGGTCTTGGTCGCATCAGGAGGAGACACTGCGTGAGATGGCTGAAAATGATCTAAATTAACGCATATTGTTATCAGATAGCATAGATGAGAGTAAATTAAATCACATTTTCATTCGATCTGACCGCCTCAGTGGGATCAGTAAGAGCACGGCTTGAGTACGGCCAACACTTTAACCACCTCACCGGCGGCTGTGGGTTGAATCACATTTGGGTCAAATTATTCTCCAAGCCCACTGCAACGTATGGAATCCACCAATTCGGATACAGTAAGCTCACTGCCCAAGCAGGATTTCCTTGGCAATAAATCTAGAATCCATCAGGCGACATTTTTGAATGATTTTTTCGACTGCAAGAGTATGGTTTGAGTGCACGGCTTTATTACAGTCGTGTCTACTAGATTTCAGTAGGGCATCATTGCCTTCGATTGTACTCTTTCGACAGCCTTTCTATATATGCCTGTTCACTACTGCCCAAAAGATGCTATATGCAGGCTGTTTCAACCATTAATGCGCATTCCCGAGTCGCTGAAAAGCCGCCTTTATAAGAATGTATGTCAGGTTCAAAGCAGACTCGAATCTATGGAGATCGTTTCTTGTCAACGCCGTTTTCAAATTACTGTCTGTTCTGCCTCGAGCACAGTTGATTTGGCAAATTAGTGGGATGACAAACAGCAAAAAAGTTTTTTGAGTGCATCTTTGTTCAACGGCTACTCCCAGTTCAGCGAATGCACCCGATTGTGCAGCCTAGGCTGTAACTTTCAAGTATTTCCATAAAAAGCTTAAAGGAGGGAGGTCTGGTAAACGAGGAGGATACTTTGAAAAATTCTTTCGCCTATATCGCCTGTTTCGCATGATTTAATAAACGCAGAATTTCGCATCACCATCTTTGGAGACCCCTCTACTGCTATTAAGGGGTGCATAGTTTTTAGATACTCAGTATAGGCATAGAACAAGTTATATTCTACAGTAATTCCTCTCTATGTCGCGCGTCGACTTTCGCGGCCTCTATCGCAGATTTTATATGCAAGCATATCTAAGTATGTACCACAGATTTTTCGCCGATTCACGCATTTCTGCGGACAATGGGGCTTTTTATTTTTGGTACGCGCTTCCTCGGTTTGCCCCGGTGATTTCATACACGGGACGCTATTGACTGATGACGGGGAAGCTATTGAATCAAAGCACGCGGCGAAGTATCCTGGGCGCTGATTGGCTCAGTGAAGGGAAACGCTACTAACTCCGCTTTGTGTTACCGCAGCTCAGGCCATGCCTTGATGGCCGATTAAATTGCATTGTATAAACTTCGGTAGGGTTGTAACATTAATGATTTTGCATCAAAATCCCAAGATACTTCGGTCGTTTCAGGATGCGGGCCTTTGAATGAGCTTCGTTTCGGCCGTCTGCAGAAAAACTATTCTGCAAAAAATGACTACTTAGTGTGTATGAATTTTGCTCAGGCAGGCAAATAGAGGGCGTAACAATGGGCTTACTGCTTGGTCCGTTCCCCGCAAATATTCTCATGGGAAAAGTCGAGAGGACAAGGCTACAAGATACTATAAATAACCTTGACTTCTACAGTCGGTACGTGGACGATATTTTCTGCCTGATGGATCCTAGTACCGACACCGACGTCCCGGTCTAAAAGTATGACAGCGCACACCCCTCGTTAAAGTGCTCTGATGAATGCTAGGCAAACAACGAAATCGCATTCCTCGATGCCCTTCTTCACAGAAAATATCATGGATCTATCCAGCATAGTGTATTCCGAAAGAAAACCGGGACGGGACAGTACATTATTTTCGCCGTTTTGTTTCCCTAAATATTTGGTCAATTGGCAGCTACAGTGTGGCGTACCTGCTCTCCCGAGACTGTTGAAGCAGAACTCCAGCAGTTGCGGAAGGGATAGCCAGAGAGATTTCCCCTCCAAAATATGGGGGATCGCATTGCCTAGCCTACCATAACAACTGCAGAAAAGACGGATTTGTCTATAGAACTACCTTTTCAAGGCGACACAGCAAGCGACCTAGTAAGACGACGTCTGAAGACAGCCATCACTAGCGCTTTCCCGGCGGAGGATTTGCGCGTATGTTTTACAAACTCTCCCCACCTACGCTTGGAAAGTAAGGGTCGACTACCTTTGCAGGCCACATTTACTTGCTCCGGTGGAGCGGAATACGTTGGCCGTACAACGAGACGCCTAGAAAAGAGGGTATGTGAACACATTTCGGTCTGGCTAGGCAGAGGTGAAAATAGATCGATTTCGAGTCCTATTCTCGCACATCTTGTCCATACGAATCACCCAGTCGATGCCAAAGGAGCCTTTCATGTTGTCTACCGGACACCAGTAAACTTCTCTAAAGGCCTACACCAACTGCAGCCGAGGCAGTGGTTATATGACTAACGAATCCAGTACTATGTAGGCAGCAGACGTCGACACAGGCGCCCAGCCTTCCGTGGCCAAAATCGACCCCAAATGATTATTACACGCCGTCCCAACCCCTGATGACAGTGATATGTACTCCACGTACCTGACTTACGAACATCACTCACAGCCTATGTCACCCCCTCTTTGTCCATTATCATAAAATGTCGACCCGTCATGCGGGTGGCGTTGGGGATGAGGTGTTAATAACCTCTGAGTCCCTTATAAACCATCTGAGCTTCTCATTTTTACTTCCTATGTAACTGTATTGACCTGACGAGTTACCGAAAACACGTGTTTACCAAATTGACTTTTCCAACAAATGCCAGTATATGTTTTGTTCAATATTTGCTCACTTTAGAAGAGAGGAATGCAAGAGTCTGACATGCTTATATTCTTGTGACATAGGTCCTGCACTGTAGTGGCCACCTCAAGGTCAGATTGGTGTACACAGACGGATTTCCTCACCTGCAGAATATGGGTCTAGTGGCTGCCGCGTACGCCCTACCCACGCCAAACACAAACACCACCGAAGTGCGCCTATCCAGAGATATGTTCATGTTTCGCGCCAGTCTCGACTTAAAGCTAATTTTTCTTGAAGGAAGGTGAGTATAAGTTTATTTTCCTCATGATTATTGCTAATCCTTCTGGTCGAGGAGGCTGCTAAAAGTGCAACTATTTTGGGAGCAACGAGTTTTCCAACTCTAAGAGTATTATCACCTTGCTGCTTCTGACGCTGCTCGTCTTGTTTTAGCTCCTGGTCCTCCTACCCTTACTACTACTACTACTACTACTACTACTACTACTACTACTACTACTACTACTACTACTACTACTACTACTACTACTACTACTACTACTACTACTACTACTACCACCACCACCACCACCACCACTACCAGTGTCACCAATAATAACAGTGATCTTAGAAATGATAACTACATATCGCCATTGCCAACGCAGTCGCTGTGGCGACTTAGTGTGCTTAGTTTGCAGAAAAACCGATAAAACGTGGATTTATTTTAGTTCCATTCCATATTTACTCTCTTCTGATTAACACTGTTAGCGTTGCGAATGCCAACGACAATCACAGTACTGGTAATCTTCTCTAGCTTTCAATATCTGACTCTACAACGTGAAATTTTGTCACTATGACTAAATCATTGTAACTTTCCCATGCCTCAAAAGTCTGCTGTTTTTTCACATTTAAAGAGTCGCTGAACTAACGGGCCATCAGCCGCAGGAAATAATTGAGAAAACACTCTACCAACTGGTTCACGCAGCAGACGCCTCCGAGCTGCGGGAATGCCACGAGATACGTAAGTCCGAGGGCTCTTCAAAGTCCAGACCTTCCTCTTAGATTTCAGAAATGGTGAAAACGCATCCGTCAGTTTTTTGGGCCAACTCAGTAAGCAGCAAGCACGTGGTCGGGACGTGTTACGGTCGGAATATTTTTAAAGTACTGTAGAAAGGGGAATTCGAATTGCCAGATAAAGTATATGTCGACTTATCCAATGCCCGCATGAGCAATA